TTTTTAGTTACAGACACAATATCTTTATTTTATTTTTATGTGGTGCTGAGGATCGAACCTCATGCATGCGAGGCAAGCACTCTTCCTCTGAGCCACAATCCCACCTCCAAAAGTTTATAAACTTTTATGTGGGATTCCCTGATCTACAATTCCAAGAGGAGAAAAAAAATTTACATTTGAAAATATAATATCCCAAAATAAGCTATCTTTTAAACAGTTTAAGTCCAGCAACCTGTAAAGAAACGAACAATAAAGTTACCTTAGCCGCTTGAGATTCTCTTAAGTAATATTTCAAAAGGTCAGAAAGTTTGAGGTCTTCATCAGCAGATACTCTTGCTTCTATTTTCTGAAAAAAGGGGGGAACTGGGTATGAAATCAATAAATCATCACTCAACATTCTCAATAATTACGAAAAAAATTAATGTTATAAATAACTGCAGTATCTGTTTTATCTAGCTTTCTTTCCCTTTTCCTTCCTTCTAGTTTTTTGCTTTTCTTTGCAACTCTGACAAAACATGAACAGAAAAATCAGATCAATGACATTAGTGAACTTACAGAAAGATTTTATATCTGATTCCAGTGCTTGGCTACAACAGGTGTCAACATCAATAGCTTGTTAATGTCAATAGCTTCATTTATCTATTTATTTCAATGGCAAGTGCTATGTACATATGATTTTAAGGTAGCAAAGGCTGGCAATGGCAGATTAGATAATTCAAACCAAACCTTCTTAAGTAGAAAATCTGGTCAAAGCATTAATAAAAAGTACTTGAGGACACCAAAGAAGCATCAACATGTAGTAAATTGAGCTGGGATGGAAATGGGAAGTAACCAAGCCAGACTTAAAAAGATGAGAACTCTTTGAATCTGGAGAGACCTAGGATAAGAGAAATGTCAATCAAATGCAATATCGGGCTTCGTTTGGATCCTGACTCAGACTATACTGTAAAAAATCTACTTATGAGATAACAGGGAAAAATCTATACACTGGGCATTTGGTGACATTAAGAGGAATCATGGATAACAGTAAGGGCCATATTAAATCTAATAATTCTTATCTGTAAAAAGGAGAGATGTACACAAAAGGACATAAAACAGAATAAATATGAATTTTTTATGATAAAAGAACTGTAAGCAATATAGAATATGCTAATTTTCTTGGAATCTTGGTGACAAAGGTATAAGAATATGTTGTACTATTTTTTAACTTTACTATAAATATGAAATTATCATCAAAAGTTAAAAACAAACAAAAAACCCTACATGCACACCAGCAAGCTGTGGAGCAAACTTAATGTTCTCAATCATTCTGCTAGAAGT